CCGAGACGGGCCACATCAATGGCTAGAGACATTATCAGACATGGCCCAGTCGCGCCCTCAGTGGCGCTCGTGCATCCAAGCTATTGCCTTCAATGCATAGCTTCTTTTCCACCCCCCCGCTTGACAACTCACTGACAGTACTGGATTTATGCACCAATTTACCAGCTCGCGCGTGCAATGCGCAGCTACTTACCCCCCAATCATCGGTGAACGAAACTGTGGCAGCTACAACCAGTGTACGACCAGTACGCGGTTATTACAGCTGATAATGATGATGATGATGATGGTGATCAGTAGAATCGCTCCGAAAGTGCGATTGATGGTTTTATCCTGAAAACAGCCATAAACGATTGAACTATATCAGTTTCATAAGGATGGTTTTCGCTTGTAGTATAACATTGCGTCATGAAATTATCTTTCACGGTCTGACATTCGGATGAGTTTCCCGTCAATACCAAATTAATTTGCAAAGAGTGTATTCCGCTAAGCACGTACAATTTAGGTTCAAATAGAACATAATCTGACGGAAGCTCGGGCACTACATCGACTTGATGAGCCGCAAGAAGGATGGGAGCAATCGTCAGCCGTCGAATAGTTTTCAACGACGTCGTGAGTAGTATGTTCCTTCAGGAAAATTTACTGCGGTATTTCGAATGTTGCACCAATGTAGAGGCGATAGTCTTTGTGGAACAGGAGGTCCACCTGGGATTCCTTTGAGCCTGAGTGTATTTTGTCATAAATTCCGGTCTTCTGTTACTCTGTACTCTCCAACTTTAGTACTCACTGACTGTATGTCTTTACTCCCACTTCCACAGTCCACCAATCAGTTCTACACCCACAAAACGTGTGTCGAGCGTACCTGTGCTCCTGAGCGATTCGTTAGATGCCACCGCAGCTGCTGTGTGTGCTGCCACAGTGTGTGCTACCGATCTTGGTCGACTGGAGTTGGGCAGCGAGCCGAATCCCGTCCCCTCATTACCTTCATGCACCACGACACAAGCAGGTAAGTTGTTTTCGCAGGAGAATGTATGAGCTCCATATCCACCCCTCTTTCATGGCACCCCTCACCTTTGAGTCGCTCGGTGTATATTGGCCGGTCGCCTTCCTTTTTTATAGAAAAAAAAGAGCCTATGTTGGGAGCCGACAGTAAGTTGCAAGGGGTCCCAATCAACTTATATGTTCGATTATGAGCATGCTTTCACCGTTCTACTCTCTGTGGATACGTTCCTGAAAGTAGCTGAGCACGAGAAATAACACCATGCTGCTAGAAATGACTAACTTCAGAACGACCCTCAGTTTACTCGAACAAGATACCACCGAGTCCGGACCAGACTGATAATAAACTGGGGTTATACGGTTTTCCGGAGTTGTTGGGGAGCGGATTCGTTCCCAACACATCGCGTTCAAATCGATGAATGACGCGGGATGCCCTCGATTAGAAAGTTCTTTGGTTTGGACCAACTCGTAGTCTTTCATGAATGGCAACATATCACCAACTGTGCTTAGTAAGCGGTTTATAACACTATTTTTCTCCGGTTGTAAATTTGTCTACCAAACCAAAGGGAAACGTGCAAGACATTCTTGAGTCCCTTCTGCCTGTTAGCGCCATGTTCATGCGAATGCCTGTCCTATCTGGTATGTTCACGTTACGAAAATGACTTAAAATTTGAACAAGTTTTTTGCGTGTTTTTTCCGGCTGTTCACACTCTTAATACCATATGAACAATATGTAGTGTTTCAAATTCTCCTGCAGACAACATCGGTCGCCTTTTCGCGCTATCCTCTTCTCGAATCGACCCAAAAAAACGCAGACCCGTTGTAACAATTGAACTAACGTCCGTAAACTTTCCAGCTATTGATTAACATTTTTGGTCCGTTCGGTAGCGTCCCCGGTACACCGTGTTTCACCGTTTAGGTTTATTCAATGCTTTGTGTTCTTTCCACGTCCCTGTTTTTAGATGTATCAGTGGACGAATCAGTTCCACAGCAGTCCTCATGTACCCTGAAAATTCCATCGGTATCGACTCCTGCGGTCCAGCTTGGATCTGAACAACGCAAAGTTTCATCAAGTCATAAAGCCTTCTTTCCCCCGTCGATCGGTCTCAGTCAATTCGATGTACAAATTGTTTATCAGGGCGTGGTGCAACGACGTACGCTGGTTCGAGCACGCACTGCCGCTTTCTCAGGCTTAGCTGCATTGTTGAGTCCCAAGCTGCGTAAAGGCCCAGCAAACGTGTATGGATCCAACTCTTCACTATCCACTGTGTCGGCGGTTGTGGGCGGTGGTGTGAAATCCTCTTCGTCTCTGATGCATGCGCGACCAGCCGGGTTCTCCTCGTGGCATCGTTTGTGGGCTACCCTTGTTGTGGTCGGTTCCGGTTCTTCTGCCTTTATGATCTATTTCCAGCCAAAATGCAAAAACGCAATGTTACGGAACGAGGTAATTTAAACCTTTAACAGAACTCTGTCGGCTATTCTGTCTTGCAAGGCGCAACATTTGAGTGTGTGTGTGTGTGTTAATGCATGGTTTCGGATTGCCTCGGTTGTCTTTGTCACCCACCGTTTGTTCGACCAGGCTGCGCTTTTTTTGCTTTTAGTAACTCGAAAGAAAGGTGGCCTTGGCGAGTCTTTTTTTCCCAAGTTAGGTAGAACTGGACAATGAATGTATCATAGGCCGGTGTTTGAACGCAGCTGATTTCTTACTGAAAAATAAGTTCAACCGGCTTCGAGGATAGGATACAACGTGGTGGATATTCCACCGCTGCCTTTACCTATATATACACTGGTGAGTAAAGTATATTCTGAGTGCTGACGATAGCTTAGTTGGAGGAAGGGTACAGAGTAGTATTGATCTCTGATACGTCCTCAGCTTGTCACTGGTCAGAAAATTTGAAACATTTCAACCAAAATGGTATAGGATGTTCCTATGAGGATGTCTACCTGGATACCCCTTTCTCAAGGGGATGGCAGGTGGAACGCTGCCACATGCTTTCCAGGAGAGCAGGCAGCTTCTTGGGATAGTCCCCGAATAGTGTAGCTGAAAACCTCCTTTCTTCCTAATCAAATTCTTCCAACTTAGTGTGCTACTTGTGGCAAGTACAATTTACTTTAGCTGAGGACTACCAAGATAGATCGCGAGATATGGGACACTCCGAAAGCCTGTTTGATGAGCTAATGCGGCGTTGGTTTCAGGCTCACAGCGAACCCGTCTTGAATGAAGGAGGATGCATAGTACTGGTTGGTATGCTAAAAATTGGTAGGAGTCGGACTAAAATGAATGAGGGCTTGCAGTGAAAATATTACACGCCTTTGTCCGCCATTAGACTTGATATGAGGTTCGGAAGTGATACCTTTTAAAAATAGAAAAAAGTTTAGGTCACAACGTTCAAGCGGTCCCGACAACCCAATTGATCAAGACTGCCGCCCCGTCTAAATCTGCAACAGGTCGTCTCTGCGAGTAATAAACAGTCTTGAGTGGGTGGAGACATCATTCTTTGGTCATATGCTGACAATGGTGTGGTACGTTAATTATGGAAACTTTGTTTTCCGCACCTTAATCGGAATGGCAGAGATGGCTGAATGGAATGAAGGATGTCCCGAAAAGTCTGGGTATCTTTTGCGCCATTCGCCTTCCAGGATGTGGTCCACGTGACCTTCAGTGGGCCTGGCTGCATTTACCGAACAATGTGACGGCTAACCGATGTCAGTGGCTTTCATGTTGTCACTTCCTACCCCGAGTGTCTGTGGGGCTGAGTGTTGGAGTAGTAGGCACCTTGAATGTACGTTGTAGACTGGCCCCAAGGCCCCCCTCCCCGTGTTCTTTCCACTGTGTAGCTTCATTCAAATGAACTGGTATGGTAGTACAGCACCACTGTTCCTCTCTGTTATTGCTGTCAGTAATGATAGTAATGCGTTGCGTGTTCATCGTTAAAAAGAAACTAAAGTGAATGAACCGGGTGCATTCGTCTTTTTCAGTTGCTTTGCGATAAGTAAACAAAGTACAGTGTTTCGTTATTGAACTAGTGGTAGCTCCGTTGTTAAACGGCGGATCGATAACTAATGTCCCGCAGCACACGAAGGAAGACTAACCTTCACGGGGAACATTTCAGTTGGTTAACACTCTTCACTGTTGTCTCGACATTAATGGAACGTGATCCGTGAACCTGCCAAGATCCTGGCAACGTAATCTAATTGATGTTCAACAATACGCAGAATGGCCGCTAAGAGGTAGATGGAGACACGCAAGAAAGGTATATAACACTCAGTTAGTCAGTCACATCAGTTGATGTCAGATGTTTTCAGAAACCCAAATAAGCGCAAACAGATGAGGAAGAACTATTCGCTCAACTATGCATCAATGGCGTGTCCTCGATAGGGGACGAAACTTTTGCGAGTTAATTACTGGGTTTGGCGAAAAGGTCAATGATCATCTGAGCCGAACTATTAATATTTCGACACGCTTCCAACACCAAGAGTGTCTATACATTGTGTTGGCCTACTTGATTGATGAAAGTGAGCAATTCGAGCCCGAACAACGTTTCCTAGGCTGAAATACCTTTTCATGTTCTTGATAGTAGCTTCATTGGGTCCAGTCGAGTTTGCCTACCTTGTTGGATGAGATCGTCTTGTTGAAGAGATAAATATCAATAGTTTTTCGACTGGATGAAGTAGTAGAAAAGCACCCCACTTTCGCTTATTTTCTCCCGTAACATACTGTTGATTTCCGTTTTTTTTTTCAACTCTAGTTGAGCCGCCTTGTGGGGTTCGTATTCACATCACACCCATTGAACAGTCGGGGCGGGATGGCCCAAGTGGTTAGAGCGCGAATTTACTGACCGGAAGATCCTTGGTTCGAATCCGACCTCCGTCACTCGACTTCCCCTCTCTAGGCTTGGGCAACCTGACAGTATCCCAGCCCTCGTGCTTCCTTCGGATGGCATGGCAGTGCGTTGCGTGTTCATCGTTAAAAAGAAACTAAAGTGAATGAACCGGGTGCATTCGTCTTTTTCAGTTGCTTTGCGATAAGTAAACAAAGTACAGTGTTTCGTTATTGAACTAGTGGTAGCTCCGTTGTTAAACGGCGGATCGATAACTAATGTCCCGCAGCACACGAAGGAAGACTAACCTTCACGGGGAACATTTCAGTTGGTTAACACTCTTCACTGTTGTCTCGACATTAATGGAACGTGATCCGTGAACCTGCCAAGATCCTGGCAACGTAATCTAATTGATGTTCAACAATACGCAGAATGGCCGCTAAGAGGGAGATGGAGACACGCAAGAAAGGTATATAACACTCAGTTAGTCAGTCACATCAGTTGATGTCAGATGTTTTCAGAAACCCAAATAAGCGCAAACAGATGAGGAAGAACTATTCGCTCAACTATGCATCAATGGCGTGTCCTCGATAGGGGACGAAACTTTTGCGAGTTAATTACTGGGTTTGGCGAAAAGGTCAATGATCATCTGAGCCGAACTATTAATATTTCGACACGCTTCCAACACCAAGAGTGTCTATACATTGTGTTGGCCTACTTGATTGATGAAAGTGAGCAATTCGAGCCCGAACAACGTTTCCTAGGCTGAAATACCTTTTCATGTTCTTGATAGTAGCTTCATTGGGTCCAGTCGAGTTTGCCTACCTTGTTGGATGAGATCGTCTTGTTGAAGAGATAAATATCGATAGTTTTTCGATCGGATGAAGTAGTAGAAAAGCACGCCACTTTCGCTTATTTTCTCCCGCAACATACTGTTGATTTCCGTTTTTTTCAACTCTAGTTGAGCCGCCTTGTAATAGTTTTTCGACTGGATGAAGTAGTAGAAAAGCACCCCACTTTCGCTTATTTTCTCCCGTAACATACTGTTGATTTCCGTTTTTTTTTTCAACTCTAGTTGAGCCGCCTTGTGGGGTTCGTATTCACATCACACCCATTGAACAGTCGGGGCGGGATGGCCCAAGTGGTTAGAGCGCGAATTTACTGACCGGAAGATCCTTGGTTCGAATCCGACCTCCGTCACTCGACTTCCCCTCTCTAGGCTTGGGCAACCTGACAGTATCCCAGCCCTCGTGCTTCCTTCGGATGGCCTGGCAGCTTGGCAGCGAAAGGGCGTTAAAGCCGAACGACTATCACTATTATTATTACTTACACGTGCGCCGTTATTCTAGTTAGTTCACACTCGAGGGGATCTTGAGCAGATCCGTCATATGGATCAAACGTGAACACACGTTCTCCTCTTCACTTGTGATAACCTAAGTCTGTCCAGCATGCTCCTCACATGTCATATGTTTGAAATCCAAATCCCGACTCCAGACCGCTAATGTGGTCTGATTAGAGCGAAACTTGAGTCCGATGTTTCTTCTGTTTGGTGTGGACTCACCAGATTGAATACACCAGAACAGGAGGAGAACTGTTCACACGGAAGGGATGTGAGTGCGAATTCTAGATGGAACTGATGGTTCTTGTTCAACTTGGAATTTTCACATGATTAGCCGGGGGAATACTCGCGAATCCGATACGTTAGTTTGACTTCCACTGCTGCCAAATTAGCCGATTACGTTCTCCCGTCTTTCGGCCACAAAATATTCAGATTGCAATCTACAAGAAAGAACTATTTTCGTGAAGGAAGGCTGGTAAAGCTTTCTGGACTCCTGAGGTTCATAGCGCCTTTATCGTTCTCATCAGCGTCGCTAATTTATTCCGGAGCTAAACTTAGCTTCTTTCCGATTTTGTTATTGGTTAAATGGTAGTTTGTAACCCATGAGACTAGATTGACTGGTCTCTTTTCAGATTTTTCAATTACAGGTTCTTAAGGCCTACGGGTGCCATAAATTTTGTTGAAGTGTCCCGGTAGCCAGCCATCAGTTGCTGAGCTATAGCACCCTCTCGGTGCATAAGTGTCATGCCACCCGAAGGAAGCACGAGGGCTGAGATACTGTCAGGTTGCCGAGGAGTAGACAGCAGCAGTCGAGATGTCGAGATTGGATTCGAACCATGTACCTTCCGGCCAGTCGCCTTAACCACTGAGCTAGTTCGATCTCTCATCAGTCGTTGATCGTTTTTCAAACTTCTACTACACCGGCTTATATAGGCTGCAGATTCTGTTTGCTCTATAGAATGAACCTTTCCAATAGTTCACATTTGTGGACCATCACTGATATGTAACTCAGCCTTCTCCCTATGACGAACTTCAAGGTGGAACACAACGCCCCAACTTTGCACGATATTCTTTCCGAATTTAATTCTCTGGGTCCCATCAGGAGCGTACAACAAAATGAATAAATGTCAGAGGCTTGCTTTGTAGTTTACCAAGGTAGTGCCAACGGAATGCACTGCTGTTTTTACTTACATGCAGCCAATAGCGGCGCGGCCACAGCTAATTTCAGAACTCTGATGTTTGTTGTGTTGAACACGATGTCATCATGACCGATGAATGCACGAACCTCCCGGTAAGCCTCAATATGGATTACGGAGTAATCTACATTCCTATGACACGATGAACAACTTTTCACCTAAAACCTGGTCTTGTTTAGCTTTATAACGCCAGGCGTGCGAACTGGTCGCAAAAGTAGAACACTCCGAGACCAACTGTGCCCTGACAAACTTACGCTTTTGTCGACAAATGTCGGCAAGTCATAATTGGAATCTGACTGACTATCACTGTGACCCTTGTTCACCAAATTACCATGGAATCAGTTTCCCACATCGTTTGTCAGTTTAGGTGACATTTCCTGCGAAACCACCGAGTCATTGCAAGGTCTCACACATACCTTGTCTTGGCAAGGTCCCCTTTTTGGATACCAAGAATGGTTTGCTGTAGCACGTTGTTGCAGGTCAGTGACATGTCACTTTTCGCTTGCCTTTTACCAAATCCCTGTACGATTAGGAGAAAAAGCAGTTTGTCCTTGCCAGCTTTCCCAGAAACTTGGAATGACACGTCTATGAAGAGTCTTACTGGCTTGTCACCCTCCCAGCTAGTCTGACGAAGGCAGTTATATGACCTTGTTTAGCGAGGAGGGAGTCGCACACTAAATCATTGTGGACTATCCATGAAAGTGACTTTTCTTCGGAGGAGTCCGTCGATGAGGGACGCTGCTTTCCAGACTGGTCCCCGTTCCTAATCCCGGACCGCTTGCTCGTCACTATGATCTGTTGTCTTTTCGTAAATCCCACCAAATCAATCGACCAACCAAACTCTGTCCATCACCCCGTACCGTCAAAATGCACTTGTTTTCAATAAGGTTGTCTAACAAAGCTCTGTTCAACTCATATAGTACACCGGTTGTGCAACGTCCCACTAGCATTTTGCTGGCTGGGACTGATTGATTCTTGACGTTAATCCGATAGGCCCGCTTGTTCGAAATGTCGATCTTTGTCGGTGAATTCGCAGCACTCACGTTCAGTTTTTGGCTTGCCTGTGTTCCAAGAGGTAGGATACAATACGGCATCCACATGTATTTTGTGGCTATGCGCTTAATTGTTTCGGAAATCTGGATTTCACATCTGGCAGATTTGGCATCAGACAAGGAACACGATGTCGGTTGGTATGTGCAGCTGATTTTGGACGAGGGGACACAAACGCTTGTCGTCGGTTTCAGCCTTACTCGATCCCTTGAATTGTTCAGTCATCAGCGACGGGGTCAGCTGTTTCGCTTGGACGCTAGGTGTATATCGTGAAGCTGACTATTGGCAATAGTCCGTAGTTCGAAATAATGCCGAGGTTCGGGCCTTATTTATCCCTCTCTCGACTTGGACAACGTAAAACTACCTGCACCCCCGTGCTTTTTACCGGACAGCGTAGCAACTACGCACTTTAAGTCACTGAATAATGTTGCGAACCATTCCAATTCTCACAATGGCATGACAACATTGTGCAATTTTTTTTAGCGCTGCTAAACTCCTATTCCCCTCATCTTCATTCTTTAGTTCCGCGCACACCAATGTCAAGTTCAAAGTCTGATCAATTTCAGGGGCTTGCATCCCCTCAGTAGTTCGCAACATATGCTATCTGACGACTCAACCAACGCAACTAGCCACGTTCCCGAATACACGGATGAAGTCGAAGATGGTGATGCGTCCGAATTATTGCAAGACGAGGGCGACACACCGGCCGTCACTACCTCCGAACCCGAACTGGCCAAATCCCCTGTACGCCGCACGAATCGAGGGCATTCCGTACCGACCGCAATGAGTACCGGTCTATTCAACTGCTGGGCCCAGATTGAACTTGGGCATCATCGTGATGGGACTGTGGATGTCAACTCTTTCCTCCTATCTGATCCCAATCGCCACAAGGTTTATCGGTTTCGTCCCGTTTTAGCTCGTGACTCATTGCCCGCGTTCACGCGGTCCACTGGCCCATTCGACTGGCTTCGTCGCAGCGGATTTCATAGCCCCAAAGTTATGCCGCGTGCTTCACAGCCATCGGTTGTTATGGACACCAGTCGTTCTCGACCCAGTCCGTTTGGTTTCAGTTCTCTGGGACGACCCCGCGGAGCTTCTGTCCCGACAGCCCTGACCTCATCGCTAGTCAGCCCCACCAGCTCGCGTTCAGCCACCTTAAAGCACATTCGCACTACTAAGGAAGACCCTGGACTTCCGGGCTCATCTACCTCCAATCCTGTTGTAGACGAATGGATTAGAGCTCTGCATACTGCCCTGAATTCGGTCGAACAGTTTCATCGCCATCGATTTATCGCCTACCACGCGCAACGGTACTGTGAAGAGGACTCTTGAAAAGCATCTGCTTACTGACCGTCGCTGTGGTCAACTTTTTAGTTCTCTCTCTCCATGCATGAGTCTACCGCACAATTTTCTCTGTGATCCAGTGGCCATATTGGTTCTCTTCCAAAAGAACAAAACACCTGCTTGGGCTGGTGGGTGTTTGTCACGTTTTTTTAGTGTCTCCGGTCAACCCGACTCTTGTTGACACAAACACAAACCAACGGTGTGAGGATCGTTAGGTTTTTCTTTATTCTTTCTTGACCCCGTTTCACACCACTTTCCACCACCGCTACGTGGCTTTGGTTTTTGTTCATATACTTACTTCGCTTGATGTGTCGGATCCGTGCACAACGTTCTCTTCGCTTACCTGGTGCAATGTTTTGTTCATTTTTTTTCTATCGTCCCATCAGATCCATAGATCGTGCATCTTTCGCGAGACTGTTCTCTCTGCTATTCCTTTAAAATGGCCATCTGGTCAGGTCATGCAAGCTGTCGCACCTGCTTTTATCGTGTACTCACAGTCCGAATTTATTATGTAACATCGCGCTACGTGTTTCTTAATTCGTAACTCAATGCTCTTTTACCGCGAATGAGCTGCGGTTTTCGTCAGGTCGGTGAAATCTCATTACTATTATTATTATTACTATTACTATTATTACTATCCTTATTATTTCGCTTCGCAGTTCCTAAACCGCTTTCACGCATGGATGTACACATTTGGTCTCATCTCGACCTATCTTACTTGTTTCTTGCTATGTTGTGTAGGGATTACATGCAAACAAACCTCTTCCGTATAAAGGCTTATTTCTTTTTCGCGATTGAAAGCTTCGGGATTCTACGCTAGGACAATGAATTCTACACTCTTTACTCATCATTTCGAAATTACCGAACGTATCTGGTTGAACTGACTGCGGTAGACTCTGCTCGATCATTAATTTGAAGACCGGTGGCAATCGTTGCCCATGTCCTAGGGGCTACTCATTTCGGGGACGCCATGAATGTCCTATTAGGGTCCAGTGTAGCGGCTGTGAGCCTCACGTTCTAATCAACATGACTGCTGCAGACATCTCTACCTACGTACGAGGGATGCTGAGAAGTTATCGGCTTGATTTCAGAGGGGAATGACAGAGTCACGAAATCATCGTGTATATTCGTCCCACAGTTTATCGCACTTCAATATCCTGAGGTATTTTATGTCTATTTGCCCCGAGTTGATTAGCTTTTTTCTATCTCAGGTCTATTCCATTTGGCAGGAGTCAAAATATAGCAAAAGGTCTATTGTTTTTTCCTGGTTAGGACGTTTATACTGACGTTATACGTAAGTATGTGTATAGACCGTTGGAATTTAATCACATTCGCACCAATCACGTTTTGACAGTCTTTCTCCTCTCCTGGCGCAACTATTCTGGTCAGTCCACATCAAGGGGGGGAGGGAACCCTGGGCTCGCCAGGTTGGGCGGAGGACTGTTTAAACATGAATGGTGTGAGCGCGAATCCCCCCTCAATATAGCTCATTGGTCAATTCACTCGACTTACACATTGAGGGTCTTTTGTGGCCTCATCATGCCAGTCAAGTTGTACTGCACGCATTGAAACTATCAGGAAGGTCAGATTCCTAAAAGTAATCTCAGGACGCCCGGAACCTACTGAGACCCCTAAAACTCCACCAAAATTTCAATAGGAAAGCCGGTAAGCATCCAGGCCAGTCAATCATTCAATCAACTCGGCAAAAGCCGATGGGTGTTCATGCACGCCACAGAAGCACGACCGAATATGGTCAGCGTTCAGGCATGTCATTCAAATACGATCGTTGTAGATGGGTGTTCATTAAATGCTTACCAAACAGCTTGGATCGATGTCAGAAAGTGCCCTCTAAATAGCACAGAGTCGGTGTAACTTTTGCACTTGTACTCAGTCGCTTTCTTTAGAAGAAAGCTGTTTTGTCCCCTTATCGGTGAGTTCTTTCTGGCACCAGACACTGGAGTGGGAACAGCAGTTAGGTATAACAGAAATAAACGAAAATTTGTTCCAGTGTGCTTTCTCGTCACCCATTCGTTTGAGGCTGTATTTTATCGAAACGCTCAACAGACATAGTTTAAAGGGAAGATACATTTTCGAGCGGTGAGGCCACAATCCTTGATCCTTCGAGGAGTCGTATGACTTCAGCTGTGTTTCGTTTCGGCTACAATTCCGGACCTAGTCAGTGGTGCTTGAGTTGTTACCTCGGTTTTAAACTTCCATGTTTGGAAGTATTTCTCTATTGAAACCTACGTAGCCATCGGTTCACTGAAATGAACCTGCAGAGGAGAAGCCGTACCGAAAAGTCGGTTTTTCGATCATCTTGGGGCGTGTAGACTTTCTTCCAGGATCCAACATCAGCCTACCAGACAACATTCACGGAAGCATTCTATAGTTGGTTTCTCAAACAAGGTATAGAGTAACCTTCACATAGTTTGTCTCCTGGCATAAATCTGAAACAAAATACACGGGGTACCTCTCGTCTTAAACACAAGTTTCGATTGTCACTTCACAGCCTGAATGGTGTACGCGAACGCCATCCGCACTTTTTTTCTCGTCTAATGTTCCGCTTTCAAAACATTTGTCGTATGCAGATTTATCTTAGCGCAGCTGACATCGCAATCTAAAATCAATCAATATCAACAAATGGCGACAAAGTCGAAACTAGTTGACATCTGAAAAGCGTCAGCTTTTGACTTACGTTCAAGTAGTTTCAGGGTCAAATTACCGATATTTCATGAAATAAAGTTCGCTCACCTCTCGTATCGTACCGCACTTGATAGTTGTCACGACTGGAAACGTTACGTGGATCCTTTGCAAATCAATTTGATTTTCAGGAGAGACTCAACTGAATCTCTCATTTATGGTATTCCACAACTGAAAGTGCTGCACACAGGCCGCCTTATGTTTCAGTTGGCACGATATTTCTCGAAAACAGTCCAATTTGGGTTCGAGTAGAACGTAAAGTTGACGGAAATTCGGGGACTGCGTCTACCTGATGAGCCCCAAGAAGGGCGAAACCGGTCGTGGGCTGTCGAAGGGTTTTCAGCAACCTTGTGAGTAGTTTCCTTTATGAAAATTGCCTGGATCCTGTTTTCGTGAAAAACCTGGGATTAGTTGGCTGTCCATGGTGAAATGTTGCATAAGCCAGTTTTTGGAACAACAAAAGGCTCCATCAATTTAGAGCGGATCGATTTTTGGAAATTTCGCGCTCGATATTTTGATCCAATTTATAAGATTCCGAGTAAAATTTGCCGATCAATAGGGGTTTTTCTAGTGGATTCCCGCTCATTGGTGGGTAACCACGGAGGGATGGTGCATAGCGGAATATGGGGGAGCAACGTGACAAATGATAAATAAACGTTCGGCTGTAGCACCCTTTCGCTGCCCATCTACTATGCCACTCGAAGAGAGCACGAGGTATTACCAGGTTGCCCAATCCTAGACATTAGCAGCGGGCACTATGCACCTCATGCACATAACGGGTTGCTAAGGCCTTCACAAATGGTAATACCGAGAATCTAGCATCAGTAGTATTAATATGGTAGTAATGTAAGCGCCACAGCAACAATTTAGTTGGTCATCTTCCATTCCACCTCTTCTATTCATAGATACTGTTCAGCTCGAGCTTCTGAATTGTTAGCATGCTTCGTTTTATGAAAATGCCATCGAGATGCGGGACAAAACTGGCTTCCGCCTGCGTTACTCAAAGACGGTGGTAAATAGCAGTGTTTTGTCCGAACTAGGTTGTTTAAATTGACTTGGGAAAGAAAACTTCCGTAAAACTATATTCCAAAGGATTGTTCTAATCGTCGCACAATGGTAACATGGTTGCCGCTTTCGAGCCGTCCGATCTCAGGCGCCATCTCGACATTACGTCAGTGCTTGAGCAACGCCACAGATGCTGTGTGGTATATTCCTTGTATGCAAGTAACAGTAAGCGGGAGCTATTTAGGAGCCCAGGTAGCGTAGACAGTCGTTGCTTTGTTCACTGAGCTGCGCTGTTTGATTGCAAACATCCACTCATCGATACATTCCCTTACAACACACTGATGAAGTCACCCCGATTCGTAATGAAGAGTTTGCGACCGAATTGGTAAATGCTTCATCTACACTGCGACAAACGAAGTCAATACACGCATAACCCAATCAGCTGCTATATTCGCTAGCTACATCGTCAATTGACATCAGCGACGAACTTTAGTGAGGCTAACGTTGCGTGTTTGCATACTGAGTGCTAGGGGAGCCCGGCTGTATGTTGGCGAGGCATAGAATTTCCTCTAGGAACAGCAACACTTTCTTCGTGTTTTTCCGCACCCATGTAGATAAGCGTTCTCCAAACCAGGTATCCAGTACCATTCCTTCGCGTGGTCGAAATGGAAGTTACATTTGTCAAAACTTATCCAAAGCCTACTCCAATAGCAGGATTTCGGGCCCTCACGATTTTAAACTGACTGGATAGAAATTATTTTAAAATTCGAATTTCGACAATGTGTTCCGAGTAGTCTAGCCAGCTGAGTCTGTTACAAATGAAACTGACCTTCGCCTTTCGGAATTCGGCCTTTAGAGCTGATTCGAAAAAGATTTTGCATGGGCACTGCGAGTGAAATCTGTGAATCACCCGAATATGCCTCTGTCCGTGTTCCATTTCAATAGGTCCCACAACACTCCGCTGCTATACTGCAGCGTAAGATATGGTTGATCTTGAAGCGACCAGATGCCGTCCTCACACACGCGTTCAGTTCGAAATCAAGCGGCTCTGTACTGCAGGGTAGCAGTACGTTGCGCCTTCTCAAAGCTAATCACTTGAGTGCATGGTGCAGTATATTGGTACGATTTATCTTAAGGCTTAAGTGAGACGCAGGTGAGCTAGAAGCAACACTTTGCTGCTGTCACAGCGAGTAGTACGAATTTACCTCCAGACCTACAGGCCGTCTACCTGACGGATTCCGTTTTAACCTCCCTGGATACGTGGGCATTTCTCTGGTCCGCAGCAATGAAACCTAACCACCACAACTAGGTGAAAGCCTCAGGTGAAGCTATATAGGTAACCGCATAGTAGTCCATCCCGCAAGAGAATCGTCCCCTTCCCCCAGGCTCGTACAAATTTGCTTTGGCTTGAACTTGATACCTTCCCGGATGGCGTCCAAAAAGAACACTCCAAGTATTTACCAGGTGCATGCAAAACCTTCCCATAAAAGACTAGAAGCCGCTTGATGTTCATAGATTGCGACACCAGTGAGTCATTTGAAAAACAAAATCAAGACCAAATGGCCATTCCGAGTTGAGTGATTCGGGCTCTGTAACAATCTTTCACGCAGTTGTGACAATTTTCTTTCTTGGAAGAGGGCGCTTATGTTTCGTGCCTTGTGGATTCTTCCACTGGTTCGGTCCCTCATAGGAGGGACCACGTTTCGGAAGAGTTTGCCTCTGGTAAGTCCCTATGGTGACCTTCACACTAAGGAAAAATCTGGTACACCATGTTACTCTTAGAAAACCACTTGAAAGGACCCGGCAGAATTGTTCGACTCTGGACTTCTGTTTGTTTTGACGAACGCTATTGCATATCTGTCTGCTCTTGAACAGACCAACCGGAAGCACTCTTCTCCGAAGTGACTTCTTCGGAAAATAAGTTTTCCACTGCAATATGCATTGAAAGACCAGTTGAAACTTCCCTGTGCTCACTGTGTCTGTCGTACAGCTACCAAAGCAATACTGCGTGTTAGCTTGATAAACTCTTTGGTGGAAATATGGTCAAAAAAATGTCAAAACGTTT